ATTTCAATCACTATACCGTCCTCTATATAAACCCTTTCCCACTATTCAGGCTTCAAGCCCGAAACCCTCTCTGCATCCCTTTTTCATCCCTATAAAGGGATCCCTAATCATTTAGACCCCTACTTTTGGGTGTCTTAGGCCCCCGGATTTTAAGAAAGTCTGACCTCGGCTGCAGTGGCTACCAGCGGCCAAGCCATCATCTGCCATGGCTCACGCACCTTTAGGGTTTAGGGCCTTCAGCATAATAGCCCAGAAATATTGGGGGACATATGTCGTATTGGAGAGAGTACAGGATGGATATGGGAGCTTTGGCTAGTTTTGGGCCGGGGATCAGGGCAGTCCAGGGCTTGCAGTTTGGGGTCCTTGTGGGGCTCAGGGTTCGGGGCGGTCTACACTTCAGGTTCGGAGTGATGTAGAGTTGATGCTTCAGAGTAATTTAGGGTTCAAGGTAGGGGTACTTCAACGTAGCGCTTGGGGTTCAGGGTAGTTTAGGGTTTAGGGCTCAAAGTTTCCGTTCAAGGGCTTGAGGCCCTGGCAGCAGCAGCTGGCAGCAAGTTTTGCTTTGGTACCCATGATAGCAAACCACCAGTATGTAAATCTAACAGCAACCCCTTGAAGGGACCAATAGGGATGGCAACAACTTGATAAGAACATCGCCAATAGCAATCTCAAGTGCAGTTGCAATTTGGGTGTAGAAGAAGTTGCCCAAGGATTGAGGCTGACGCAGTCCCCAGCAGAATGTATCTGCCATGTAAGGAAGACACAGCACCTCCTTCTACAGCCAGCTAGTGCATGGTCGTGCGAGAATGATTTCACGGCCCCCTAAACCCTACACTGGAAAGGTTTGAAGATTTGCTTGGTTTCCGTTAGATCTTGAATGGAGTTGACAAATTTCCAGGAACTTTGAGATTCCGGCATCTACCAAGTCTCTGAGTCAACCTTTACAGCCTTACGGGCCCTTCTTCATGGGTATGACAAATATTGCAATCTTCTGAAATGTCGGGGTAAGTTGGACTGCGCGGCGCTGGAGCTTTCTTGCAGTGACTGTGCCCCAGACAGCATTGAAGCCCACATGGAGAAACAACAGTCTCCACAGGCTGATTTGAGACTGAATGTTGGTGTTGGGAAGTGTATAATCACGCTGCCTGGCATAAAGCTTCTTCATGGGATACCTTCTATGAAGCCTCCTGGGGGCTCATCATCTTGCATCTGAAGGGCTGCTCTGCAAGGTACTTTCAGTATGCAAAGCTTTGCTAGAGGCAGACATGAAGACCAAGAACTTTTTACACATAGAGTCTCCAAAGAAAGCTTCATTGAGCTAAGAAAGTCAGGCACCTCCCCAACCCTCAGCCAACATTTGATGTTTGCCACTTTTTTTCGTCACGCCTCCTTCGCACGAAGGGTCCAAGCATGTGAGTTGTTTGATGATTCTGGGCTCATGGGTTGGTGAGGATGTGCGTCTGAAGCGTCTAAGGAGCGCAATCAAGACCTCTGTCACTTAAGAATTGAAGAATTAGGCTACGTGAAGTTTCATGTTAGTTTGGGGCTTGAAGAGTTTTCCTGCCCCGTTCGCAATGAATCGCTCCTGCTCCAAGTAACCTTCAGGCTCTTGGACCTCCATAATGTAGGGGCCTAAGTAACCAGAATATGATTTCATACCGTCATACCGTATGTACCTGTGAAGACGGTGACAAGAGAATGCTTCTATTTAAACAAGCTTCTGCAGTAGTGGAACTCACACCTGAGCCCTCGAAAGCCCCCAGCAGTAGGATCTCCTAAAAGGCTCGGAATCCCTACATATTCGCGATAACATCCACCCACATAGTTCATACATGATCTCTTACAGCACCTTGGCCCCTAAATCTAAACATCCCTAATATCCCTCTGAGCAGTTTATAAAGACATAGGGGTATCCCTTGTCTCAGAAAAGTCACATGAGTCATAGTCTAAACTCCTAGCATCCCCCTTAGTAACCCGTATGGTAGTCCCCTACTTAATCCCCTATTCAAACCCCCTTTTAAGGAGCTTTGACTATAGCTCACATGCTTGGAGCTGGCACGCGGAGCCGTAGGGAGGGTTGCCAGGCACTCCCAGCCCAGGTCAAAATTGGATGTTCCAAACTGCTAAAGATGTTGAAAGGGCGGCCAATGATCCAAGTTCAGGTAGATATCCCTCAACCCCTTACGTAACTTTCGAGAATCCACTCTGTGTGGCATACAGAGCTTCGAGGAAAACTGGGAGTTTCCCAAACTCGTACCTACCCCCGTCTTGACACCAAACATTTATGAGTAGGACCTTCTACGGGGAATCCAGGCTTTTGAGAATCTCCCAAATCGGCCGTGAGGAGGGATGAGCTGTCGCTCCAAACCGATGTGCCAGGCTGCGGCTATCTCATGGTGGCTTGAAGGAGCTCACATACCAGTCTTTCAAGGGATGATCTGGGGATTGCATCCGAACATGCCGGTTTAGGGCAAGCGCTGACCAGGGTGGCTCAGGGATCTATTCCTTTGAGCTTTGGGACTTCAGGTGTTCAATTGAACGGGCCACTTCTACTAAGTCTGATTCTGGATGAGCCTTTTTACGACTGCAAACACGTCTTGCGAGATCACACACATACAGATATGTGTTACATGATCCCTATCCAGCTTTCCACAGGATAACTTTGTCGCTATACTTCTGGAAAACAAGAGTGGGAGCTTTTGCTGCGAATATTCTGCAAATAGCTGGTGTCGCACAGCCTGCCTGACTGAAAATCGCGTGCGCATCTTGCACAATTTCAAAGCGAAGCAATATATGCTATAGCCTGCCAGCTGAATCCAAAACCATCGCGACCCACGACTATCTCTCTCACAACACATTGATGAAATTCTGCTTAGGTTGACCGTGGGAATCTCCATGCAGCAGACATCACAAATACAACACAGAAGAATCACAGGCTCAGCTGAGGTCATTTGAAGCGTTGGGCTCATACAACCTCTACTTGAAATCCTCCCAATCCTCTTACTCAAAATGTTGGTCCCCACCCAGTGAAGTCCACAAAGCTGGAAGTCTTCAAAGGATTTCTGACAGGAAGCATCTGATACATACCATCCCTTTTCACACGGAATTGATTATGTTAAAGTGGGGACACGGCTATGGCACCTTCGTGCCGCCTAAGACTTACGGGTGTATAAGGGGGAATCGGGAGTTAATTTCGTTACCAGAACAGGAGTATTTATGGGGAATATAAGGAGTGTGAAAAGGATCCGCTCCCTACACCCCTTAAGCACCAGCAAGAAGAAGGTAACCTTGCCACAGTTTGGGCCCGGAACGTAGCACAACGAAACTAATGATCGATTCGAAAGGGAGCTCAGACAGGTCTCAGATTCTGGCTGGCCAATGCAAAGAATGGTGGCTCAACTCTATAGAGGAGCGCATGAGCAGCGTGGAACCTATGTTCAAGTACATCTACCTTGCAGCTTCCCCTTTCATCTCGGGGCATGCATAGGGCTTGACGGTTTGTTCGGACCTAGAGCTTCCAGCATCCCTTTCCATTTGCAGTTATTGAGGCTTGGCGCTTGGGACATAAACAGGTTAGCTTGGCTCTCACTTCTTCTTTTTCTGCAGCGACTTGATGTAGGCCGCAAGCTTCTTCTCGGCCTGGCACCCCAAGAGCCCATTGAGTGAGGAGGGGGTCAGTCAGTGAATCCATGTACAATTTGCTTCGAAATCTTCAAGGACCCTATCGTGCAGTTGTACCTACGTTGACCTAGATTCGCACAGGGTGTTGTAGAATGAAGGCTTTCAGGGTTTGCCATCCTGAGAGTCAGCCGCCTTCCGGCTTGGGGTGCAGAGCAAGCTAGAACGACAGACCAAAAGAAGAGGTTCCAGGTGGTGGCCAAGCTAGACCAGAAAAGTGAATACCGCCGTAAGTTCCTGTTAAACAGAGTGTTTCCTATCAAGCCCGCAAACCCCAACACACACTTTGAAACGCAACGGCCCCTAAAGTCTACCCCCACATCTAAGCCCCTCGGCCCCAAACCCTAAAGGAACCTCCCCAAAAGGGCGGCCTTCTTCAGGTCTCCAGAAGCCTTGATGCCTGCCCGTATGTCAGCCATTGCCTTGGTTGCATGCCAGGACCTCCCAATGGCTGGTAAAACTCTTCTGGATCCCTTTCAGCATCACTGCAGAATGCTTGAGCTCCTCCCCCTAACACGATTCCAGACCCCGGAAAAAAAGGATCCTAAGACCCCATTCAAGTGCTAAGCATAGCAGGGTGGAGGCATTGTATGCAGACCCTTCAACTGCCATTTCGCAGGCCATCCGAGGTGGTGGGGGCTGTATGCATATTCGAAAATACTAGCAGACGATATCCTGCCTGCAGCTGGAGTCTTTCCTGCCTGCCGGGCCGAAGCAGTGGAATCCAGATAACACGCATGCCCTCCCTACATACACTTAACAACGTTAACTTCATAAGCCCATCCAAAAGTCTAAGCCTCAACACCGACGCTATGAAGTGCAGCTAGGTTGCAGCATTCAGTGTTTTGCCCAGCGACGGCTTGAGGTCACCTGGATGGAGGGCCTCGGTGGAGAAGTCCTGCAGGCTAGATTCAGAATTAAGCTCTCTGGGTTGAGGGGTAAAAGCTTTATCTTGGGGTATAGGATTTGGAATGGGGTTCTCCTAGCATGAGCCCGTAACCTTGAGTTCAGCTGATATGCCGCCAACATGTTCTGATGATGCAGCCGTCAAAGCCCTTTAAGGCCCTGATGCGCGACCCAGGGTTTTGAACTTAGCCTGGGAGGCTTCAGGTCAAGGTTTTCTTACATCCGGCCACCCTCTACCCATACACACCTAAACTTCCGGCCCAAAGCAAAAATCTGAAACCTCTCCGAAACCGACATGTCGAAAGGAAGGTAGTCAGGTAGTCAGGCAGTCCTGAGCACAGAGGCTGGGATCCTGAAACCTTGAAAGCTTCAAACACCCACTCACAGGCCCTTCTTGCACTGCTTTCAAAGCCATCCTAGGAGTACAAGCGGTAGAAGGCGGGCGCGGTGACACTTTGCCAGGTCCAGTCCTCTTTGGGTAGTGGCTTCAAATTCTTTAGGGACAGGAAGCCACGAGGCGGCTGTCCGGCTCCAAAGGTGAACCTGAATTTGCATTTGGGTCCTTGGGGAAAGATCACCGGCACCCAAACCTTCTCCGTCGGCAAGGCAGGCGCGCCGGAGGTCTCTTCTAGAGCAAGGAGCACTTTGGCTCCTGGCTCGACGTAGCAGCTGAAAAGTGTGCAAAGGCCCATTCCAGTGGTAATTTCAGTCCAAAAGAGTTGCGCCTGCTCGCCGTTCTCCGGGATTACGACTTCCAGATGCACCTGGTAGGAGCTCACGTCACCTTCGACCAGCATCTCCCCAGCTGCGCCCAAGGCCTGAGCCAGGTCATTCTGCATTGAGGCCACATTTGGGCGATCGGCATGTTCAGTGTCTTCCAGCGGTACATCATCGTGGCTCGTCACCTCGTTATATTGCGGCACCAGGCGCACCAGCGCTAGCGGCCCGGCGCCTTGTGGTTGATCCTCAGAGAGCAACTCTTCGTTGGCCAGCAGCTGCTGAAATTCTGGCTTGATGCCGAGTGCCACTTCCAATTGGCCTTTCACATCTTTCACGACGCTGTTGACCGGCAGGGTCAGGGTCACCAGCAACGCACCAGTGGTGGCAGACATGATCTCCAGGCTCCTGCACTCGGCTGTCGCATCTGCAGCTTCCGCTGCATCTTCAGCAGCATTAGGTTTTGCAGCTGCAGCTGCTGTCGGCTCAGCCATGGTCTCAGGTGCTTCTGCATCTGCAGCCTCTCCTGCCTCCGGTGCCACCTGCTGCGGTGACACTTCTGCCTTGCGGCAGCATCTCATGGCACAATCGGATCAGAATCTGAACCGCTCTGTTCATGGGCAGGCTAGTTAAAGGATCCAATACGCGTATGTCCAGCGTTCAGAGTCTTAGCTTCTGAATGATGCATCCACATTTGCTTGGTAAGCTTCCTTGATCGCGCCCCAAGGGCTTCCATGCTGACCTGTTGCGCTGAGTGTCCAGCAGGGCCCACAGGATGTGTCAGGTTTCATTCGGTCATTCATGTACCTTGCAAGTGATGGACGTGTGAAACACGGCTTGGAGAGGAGAGGGCTGGGGTCTTTGAGTTCACTTACCAGGATAAAGTGAAACAACAATGGAATCTATAGGGCCCTCCTAAACATACAATCTCCTGGGACCTGACATTTTGGACCGTACCTGATTCGAATGGTCGGGGATACTCCTGCACATATCACTGGGTGTGCATCTAGTCCTGGTGACCATGATGCCCCTTGCTAGTACGTTGCCTGTGAACCACCTGGACTTCTTAAATCCCTGCATCTACCTGAGCTTGGCCTAATGGACTTTGGCGACAAGCTGCAAGCCCGTAGAAACCCATTCCTGGGGAACCAAAATGATACGGCATACAGGGGGTTTTTACGAATCAACAAGATGAAGGAGCAAGTTTGCCCAACAATCCTGATGACAAACACTGGAAGTCCCAAAACAGTCATGGATAGGATCTAAACTAGCAAAATCCACCATTCAACTTGAAACTCTAAGCACAACTCCTGCTCCAGCGTGGCGAGGTCCGCGTAGGCCAGGTCTCCGCCATTTTGTTCTTTCCGCTTAACCTGTCCAGGTGGGGGGTTCTGAATATGGAGGTGCGTGCCCCCAGTCGCTCAGAGACCCTAAGCCCTTAACCCTGTTCATGGTTTGCTAAGATGCGGCCCCCGCGTTCAAGCCCAATCATCGTGAGACATGTCGACTAGCATCATATCGGGTTCCTCAAAAGTGGCCAAAAGTTTGACAGTCTGCGGACTCTTGTGACTATTGACTGATCATTTCGGAAGCTGTGCACATTCCAAATGGATGCGTAGGGTTCTTCTGTCTGTCTGAGGAAGCTGTTTTTTTTTGTTTTTGGGAAGGGGGGCGTAAACGCAGGTTCTTACTCCTCCTGAGCAAGCTCACTTCAGAAGATTTGGGTGGATACCTGCACATATCTTGACAGTAGAAAAGGATCTCCCTCAACCCCACGTAGTGGCCACTGCATATGTACTCAACGCACAGCAGCGCTACAGCATCTTCCTATCAAACTCCCATTCTTGCGACAGGGATCATCAGGCCTCCCCCTAAAAGGGGTTCTGCTGTGGGACATGATCCCCAGATCCACCGACACCGAAGTAATATCTGAAGAAGACGTGCCTAAAGCCTTTGGCCGTACACGAATCCTTAAACCCCGAACCAAGACTCCTTCCGAAAAGCCAAGGACAGTACAAAATCCTGAAGATTGTTGGGCAGGATCCCAATGGTTTGGCTCACTGTTGGGGGCACCTGGTTCCTGGTATTCTTGCTATGCAAGGGCAGCCCCTGACTGTTCAAAGCCCGACATGAGCCCTCAAACTGAGACCGCAAAATCCAGGCCAGTGGCCACAAACTGTTTCTCGGGCAGCGTGGGCAGCAACGCCTGCTGTGCAGGTTTGTTCTGCAGGGGTATTTGGTCTTGATTTTTCGTGCTGTCCCTGTCAAGTAGGCTTTTGCACATAGGGGTCTTGGGGCGCAACCGCTGACAGTACTCAAGCCATGCTGTGCTAGAACAATCGCTTCCAATGGCTCCCTATCTGTACCTGCTTACGTACTGCGCCTGAAACTTTCCATGGCCCTGGACATTTTGCTGGCTGCAGAATGTAAAGCTTTTCGAACCACACAATCCTAGAATGGTGCTTGCTGCAACTCGCGCCATGACCACATCAAATCCTAAACCAGCCTGGACCCAAGCCACAGGGGGATTGAACTCCAGGTTTCCGGGCTCACAGAAAGCCTCCGGCACAAGGCTTCCAATTCGGATGGATATTTGGGCCGTTTGAAGTGGCTGCCCCTCAAGGATACTGGGGTGTGGAGGAAGAACGTGGGGATTCGAACAATAATGCCCTTGACAATACAGCGGGTGTGGTGTCAACACCGACAGTGTACACATTCCCCCCATGTTCAATATTATTATCCGTTTTGTTGACAGGATTGTCCACAGTAGAGCTCGGGGTCTCCCTTTACTCTGCTCATGATCCACAATTGCAGGTGCAGCATTTGGACCCGAAGTCCTTCAACTCGAGCCCTCCATCCTTGAGATTCTGCGGGAGACTGCTGGGGCCGAAGGAGACTGTCCTGCTTATGGTTGCAAGCTTTTGTAAAGACCTGATTCCAACATGATACATGAATACAAGAGATGTATGAAGGGAAATGTGGGACCACACTTGTGAATTTGAGATGTCAAAAAAACAAGACGACGTCCCGAGGCTAAGATACCCGGCATCCTTCTGGCATCGAGGCAGTAACGCAAACCCTCTGCCTTGGAGCAGACGACGTCGTGCTTCTAAAGAACCCAGAGGCCAAAATGCGAAGTGCCTATTTAAAAAAAACATACAAGAGCAGACAAAAAGAAAGCAAGCTTGGGCATTCTCGAATTGGTGGCGATCTCCTGTATTGGTGAGGGCATCAACCTCGAACCCTAAACCAAGGTTTCTAGCTTCAGTAATTTCATGCGCAGGCTACCTCAAAAATCCTGACCCTTCTTTAAGCGGGAGGATCAGCACTAGTGGCACTACCACCAGGACCCCTAGCTACACACAGACTGCATGCCCCAGTCTCAAACGGAACGGCCGCAAAAAACGCGACGCTCACTCAAGCAGTTCAAAAGAAACAAGAGCAGCAGTAACAAACAAACATAGCAATAGCGAGCCGTCCCAAATCGCGTGAACCTGTGAAAGTCTTAGTCTCCAGCCTTCTTGACCTTCCTATTGACGTCCATCTCCTGAAAGGGCACTGCGGGAGAGTCAGGAACGCGAAGCCCGGCTGAGGCTTATGGACATGCATCTATCGAGCAGACGGATAATGACTATTTTTGGGGACTCTATGGTGACTGCCGTTCCGTTCCTTCTTCCTGTCCCTTGCAGCATGTGCTCGGGGTCAGTGTCCCTGCGTCCTTGTAGCTCCTCATGATCGAAACCGTACAACGAACCAATCGCCAACAGGATCCCAGACAGGAATCCGGGAATCTAGCCAATGATGACCCGTCCTTTGAAAAATTGAAGGCTTTAAGCTGGCCAGGCAGCTTGGCCCTAACTTCTTGCGCATCACTAGCGTGTCTAAAGCAAGTACAATACCAAGGAACGATGGAGATCCCTATTCATTATTGAGGATTCCATACGGGGAGCTTCATGTCAACTTTAGGACATGGACCTGGGCATTGACATAGATCCCCTCAAGCCCAAACAACCTAGGCCACAAACGTGATACCCTGAATTGCGCACACCTTGTCGGTTACCAGGATCTGGGTGTCGGCCTGCGCATCAACCCGCAACATGAAACTTCAGGCTTTTCGGTTAAAGGCTCTGGATGATGGTTGGAGGACTTGCAAACCAAACTTTGGGAAAGCGGAAGGCTCAAACTGCCTTGAGGGGATGTGAGCTGAGGTGATTTTTCTTCGCAGAAGAGCCGAGAGAACATGTTGCCAGCACGCCGTTGTTAATGTTTCTGTCCACGTGCATGGACAGCAGCAAGACACATACAGGACTCGATTCCAATTCAGGCTTAGGGTTTAAGGTGTGCTTGGGACCTTGCTGCTTGTAGGGCTTCTGTAGAATCTGCCTTGAGACCTTTTGCCGGAGCAGCGGCGCGCGAAACATAAACTTGGAAGGTAAGAAAATACTCTCAAGCTGCAACAGTTCAAGGTCCTGCCATATAGAAGTTTTTTGAGGAACTCCTGTATAGTTTCTCCCCTGCGTCTGTAGATAGCCTGACATCCCTCAACCTCAAGCGGTCCTACGCTTGGCCATCAGATCTAAGGTCCCAATGATTACTGCAATGCTCCAACTGGGATAGCAACTCATTATCGCGCACCAAAACCTAAAAACCAATAGCAAATCCCCAAAAAAGTGAGTACGTAGGAGCTTAGGGTGAGCCTGACACAACTAATATGTTGTCACATCCGGGCCATGCTCTGCGGAGCAATCGGTGCGAATGTTGCATGAAAGCAAGGAAGCCAATGACCGCAGGCCCTGAATCCCCAGCTCCCTGGACTGATCTGGCAGGTAGACCAACCCTGTCGGCTCCTGGGAATTCACCCGATAGTGTCAGTAGCACCACATTGGGGGCTCTGCTTTTCAGATCCTTCCGGGGCCCTGAGTCATGTGAATCTTCTCCGGCCTCTAAGCCATCTCCCGGACTTTGCAAACGCAGAATGGGCCTTATTTCGATTGATGCGTCACGATTGCTTGGCTGGACTTTTTAGCTTCTTAAACTAATCAACATGTAGGGCCCTTATGATGTCCCGGTGGGAAACTATCAGATTTCGCACCGGATTTAGGCTTCAGACTTGAAGCTTTGATGAGCACAGATGTGCGCAGGTTGAGGATGGAGGGATTGCACATCTGCAGCCTTGCAGAGTTGGAAGACCTACCATCTGCAACCAGTCCTTGCTTGCGAAATACATGCCAATGGTGCATGCGGAGTGCACCATGTAGGTCCGCTTTTCTCATGCGACAGTTTGCACTATCACTCCGAGAATGCTACAGCTGCTACAGGCTCTATGGTTTCCACCTTATCGAGGTAACTTTGCCATTTCAGCACCCCAGTCTGTTATCACTTCAGTTCATGAGGATCTTCGAGTCTGCATACATGAGCTACATGTTCAGAAGCGTCCAATTAACCCCTGAGCCACTGAGGTTGAACGGTACGTAACGCTGTTGCATGTGCAACGCCCAGTGTCACCGTGCAACAGGTCAGATCCCCATATCCCTCGCCGAAAGAAACCCAAGCAAAAAACTCAGACGCCTAGCGCATTTTTATCATGATGCTTCCGATACATTGCCTACAACCCGCCCAACCCAAGCATCCGTGTTGAAGTCTCGTTGAAGTGTGCTGCGCGTTAAGCTTTCAAACCTTCCGCGAACCCGCAGCTCAGCACCCATGCATGTAAGCCCTGTATGACACCTATGCATCACAACTACAGTATCATCCTGGGCAACACGTGTCGTACAACAATCTTGCTGGGCTCAAGGCATCTCGGTGCATTCAATCTTTGGCACCTGGCAACCAAAAATGAAATGCATGTTTTTCGACATGTTCCACCTGCATGCATTAGTAACCTACTGCAAAAAAGTACTCGGCTACTTGAAAGCCAGCAACCAACACAGGAGAATTCACGGGTGAAGATCATTACAATGAACAAAGCTGCAGGAGTAGATCGTTAATGCAGGGCCCGTACAAGGTAGGATCTTTATTCATCGTTTCCCTATATGGCTGCGTGCTTTATCCCCCCCCCAACCATTTCTGTGACCCCAGCCCTGACCCTCGACACACCATAGGAGGGTGGGAGTTGGTCCTTCTTTTTGCACCTGGAATGCCAATTTGAATCCTTCCATAAGTCAACCTAGGTTTCCGTTATTAAGTCTTCCTACAAGTCTTTACATCATTGCTTGTTATATGTCCCCTAGACCCAAGCCCGCACCACAGTGAGTTGGGCGAGGGAGGGCGGTGAGGGCCCGCCTTGTACAATAGTCACTATATGTGTAATTATACATATGTATGATGTAGGAACCCACATACTTGGAATAGGGTATTGCATACTATGCTTATAGAAGGAACCTACAGGGATAATGTTTGCCATTATGCAGGCTTCCACGGCACAGCTTCCAAAATTGTCTCAAGGAGCCCAAGAACTTGAATGAACATCGCACCTCAAACGCAAAATCGATGGGAATACCTAGGCTTACCATCTACAAGTAATTCCCAATGGCCTTGCCGACTCCTGGGTCCCTCCCTCACAGTAAGGTGGATCCAGAACTCCAACGTTACACGCTCAAAGCGCTCTCTGTGGGAGATCTTTTTCATGGGTTCATCCAGACCCGCCTTGAGCCCAATGCGTTCGAAGTGCTCCGACGCAAGGTTGTGGAGGTTCCTGGCTTCTATTAAATTAAGCTCCCACAGCATTTCTGTTCGCGGTTTAGAAGCATGACCGTGGCGTAATGAGATCACCAAAATCCGGGACCATGTTGGGAACCCTGCTGTGATGCCTTTCACTGCGAAATTCTAGTTAAGGGCTCGACTCCAAAGTATTGTGATAGACTAGGGCCTGAGCGGCAGGTATACCCTTCAAAATCCAGTCTGAGAGCTGCAATGAGCCTGGCAAACAAATTGCCAGGGCCAGGGCAAGCGGAGCCTGAGTGACCCCGCAATAAATAGATTTCTATCAACCCGACAAACCCACGACGGCCACTATAACCATTGATCAGAGTCCGTGATCGTGAACAAGAAAACAGAGGCCCCGGACCCGCGACGGGCCTGTGGTAGGGGCCACAGCAAAGAACAGCCTCGCGTTTGCCTGGGCCCAGACGTCAGCCTCTAAGGCTTGGGGCCCAGACTTCCTCCATACCAGAGCGTAAGGGGTCTAACAGGAGTGGCTACCTTGCTCCTTTTTGGGTGCTATTGGGATATGGCGTGGAAATTACGTACCCAGAGAAAGAAATGGTGCAAGCTTTCGGGTAGAGCTTAGAGGCTTAGACGGTTTTTGTGCACTCTGCTGTTCCATCTTGCGCTATCGGGTAGTGGCTTGAGCAAGTGGAACATCCGCATCCGTTCGGGCACGCTATACCTTGCTAGTTGTTCAGGCTGTCTACATGAGAGGTCAGAGTTGACACTGTGGGCAGCCCTTGAGGCTTCATTTCCTCAAGTGCCCACTAGTCCCGTGTTAAGGACTTTGGTGCTAGTAATTGTAGTACGCGTTTCGGAGAAGTATGCGATCATAATTGTATTATAACTGTCTTGGAAGTATGTAATTGTGGAAGCTTGGACCTTCAGGGAGCGTTGAGGTGGAGCAATACAACAGGTTCCAAGGACCACCAAGAACGTGCAATATATTTTTGTGACTTGAATCCCGGACTGCAGAAGACCAAACTAATGCGCAACAATTAAACACGTGACGTGCCGGATAGGCTGAAATACCCAACCTGCACATACGATATGCTGCTTGTGCTACTTGTGGTTTCGGGCTTGGAGGGTGCTGATTCTGGTCACTACTGCGCTCCGAAACGGCCCCTCCCATATGGTATTCGCAAGAAGGAAGTTGTGCCAGTAATACCCACTCAAATATTTTAGATTTTCTTAATATAATTGTTCAATCTTTTTTTTGTAAAGCAATCTTTTGTAAGGACACCCCCAAAAGGAACCCCTGATGTTGGCACACTCTCAAGCTGCGCGGTTACATCCAGCCTCCAGCTAATGCCAAGACATCACCGACATGCATGATGGAGACCACAACCTTCCCGCGGTGTTGTTCTCAGCACCCTTAAGGATTCCTAGAAATCAGCCTGTTGTAGTGTGGGGTACCAACTTGCGGGGTCGACCTTCTAGATTCTCCGGAGGTCTGGGAGAATTGCCCTGATGGACCAGCAGGCATCCTTACGGCACCTATCCACCACCATCTGGGGTTCTGATAAAGGCATTCAGAAATTGTGGAAGGAAATTCAATGTCAAGGGCAAGGGATCTGGTGTTTGTCCTGAAGTCCTGAAGCTCTGTGCTCCCTGATGCATACTAAAACCAGTGTGGGAAACCATCGCCGAGTAAGCAAAAGGATCGAACTTCTCAGATGGGGCTGTTACTTCGAGCTCGAAATCTCAGAGCCCAATAAAATCCACAAAGGTTCTTCGCTTTGTCATGGCTTCAAGACCAGATTCACCGTGAACACACATGGGCTGCAACACATGTCTACATCGCATTCTGAAAGGACCTGTTACCCATCTCTTCTTATTCCAAGAAAATCCGCCACGCTGAAGTTCCCGGCCCCAAACCCTAGATCCTAAAATCCCAAATCCGAAACATTAAGGAACTCAGGTCAACTTTCCATGGCCTGGGCAGCAGTATCTAGGTTCTCTCCGTCTGGCAGCGCTCTTCGGATGGCCTGCACGAAGGACAGGCTTGTGGAGGGTCAGCGGTTGGGTAAGTATGTTGGGTATTATCTGGTCATAACTTAGTTTTCAAATACCTAGGCCAAGAGTTCCAGTTGAATAACTTCAATTGTTTTGGGCGAAAAGGTTGGGGGTTAAGGTTTAATCATCAAATTTGAGGACTTCAGAGCGTGCGGTGGTTGCTGGTTGCAAAGTTTACCTGGAGATCCAGGTCATTAGGATTAGGTGAAAGCTCCCGCCTACTTTTCAGTGACACTTGTTTATATCCACTGCGAACCCACTAGTGGTACATTGGGAATACAGAGGGGCCCTAACATAAGTACAAGTATCCCGGTTGTCACCCTGGGATTTCCAGTTGGGAATCGAGGTTTTGCGGCATGGGGCTGACTTTGGAGTTACACCTCTTGCTTGGCAGTTGGGTTTTGGAGCTTGGGACTTGCAGGTGGCAAGCCTACGAGTATTTTTCGCGGCTTGTTGGGATCACGGGGCGTGGGTATTCTTACTGGTGCTTGATTGGGTATAGATGGGGTTTTTATGTTCGATATTTGTAGGGATCCACCCCCCCACAAGCACCAGTAGGATTTTGGGCATGCTGGGTTAATGGCTAACGTCTGACGTCTCAGGGCTTCGTGACGAAGCCCCGAGGGTTGCAGATTTAAAGGTTTAGAGACTCGCATTTCTGACCGTAATGGGTTTCGGGTTGGAGAAATTGCCCTTGCAAGCAACAAGCAAGCTCGACTCCGCTGACAACCCACGAAATCTACTCTTCACGAAGTCAAACTTCAGTATCGCGGAACTAGGCAGGCAAATTTGGGAATCATGTCAGAAGGCCTCAGGAGAAAAAAACACGAAGCGCGAAGCTGTATCAACCCCCGACCCGGGCCCCTCTGCGCCAACCCATCTCACTCCAAACTCGACCAAACCCTCAACTCGCCACTGCATACATCGCAAATCCTGCTCCCTGAGTACTAAATCCTACACCTTACACCCCAGACCCGATTGAATTATGCTATCTGGATCATGCGAAGCACGCCTCCAAGGAGCATTCGCGTCCTCTCTGGTCATGTCGAGCTTTGAGGATGCGTGCGAGGTGTGCTGTATCAACATGGATATTCTCCGAATTGCACATAATGCTTACGAAATTCTTTCATTTAACTCCCGCTACTCTGCTAGCAAGTTTCGAGTGCTTGGGCACGTGCATTCCTGCGAACGTTCAAGGACGATTCCACGGGATTCCGTCATGACCTTGAACAACATGAAAGCAGCCCCATCGTTTCTGCTCCCTGTTGCAGCTTGGCAGAACAACGCTAAGCCACGGTCTTGGCTCAGTTGCGACGAGCCCGGTATCTCTAGCACTCGAACTCCGAACCCTGAATCGCTGACTGAAGCCTTAAAAACCCACATGAGCATCACCCATTACTTCTCATCGGCTTGACGCCATGGCGCTCACGGAACTTCGAGGGTCTACCCTGTACAGCTTTGGATTTGGGGGCATAAATTTCAGTGGTTTGTGGAAATTAGCAAGCATGGGCTTGTCGAGGCCTACTTGCTTTTATACTGTTCGGATAAAGCATGCCCAATGCATCCCGTGGCAAGCATAGTCTTAACACTCACACATATGACACTTTACAGACAATCCCTGTTGTAAAGCGGTACAGAGGGTGGCGCAACGCTTCTTCCATCAACTGCAAAAGCCCTTCCCTTCAACTCGGCGAGCTCCAAACTGAAATTCCAATTCTTTGCTGGCAAAGCCCCTTCGCCAATAAACAATTCAGAGCAGTCTTAGGAACCTGAAGATTTGGCAGTAGGTCCTGTGTTGATGACCGAGGTCCAGTAGTCGGAAGCCCCTGAAAGGATGGCCTGCCAGCTTCAAGTTCCCTTCAGGTTTTAGCGCTTAGGGCTTAGGGATTAAGGCGTTAGGTTTATAAGGCCAGCATAATATGGACTTGAGGTATAGCATCCTTCAGGCGCCTACAAGGACACACTGTCAGCAGCCATCTTTGGGGGACGTTTGTGCCTTCCTCTTTCAACAAGCTCACGTAAATCTTTCATGGGGCGAATTACTGATTGAGTCGGGTCTATGGGGCCTAGATTGCTGCCTAGAGGATTCATACTGGATTACGTTGTCACTTGTATAAGTCTTAATCTGTGACATTGGGACAAGCCAAGGGCTCGATTCACCTCGCCTAAGCTCGAAAACATGAACCTTGGTTTTTCGTTGTTGCTTCTTTTTTTGTTAACAGGCTCCTTTGCCAGGAGTTTGTAGATTTTGAGTTCAGGGTCTTGTTCCAGCATGTTGGGGATGTATGGTGAAGCGATCGTCAGGCTTATGAGTGCGACAGACGCCTTTTTAATTTGCTGTTTCATTTGTATCTGGGAGACTCTGTAGTGTACTTGTGACCCTGAGCAGGTACAGTCCAACTTGACATGTGCCCAAATGCGCGTAGTACAGAAAAAGGGTAGGGTCCTCAAAATGGGGACCGCAAAAGGGCTAGTAGCTAACATCATCCTAAGCTCCGAACCTTGTGAAATCCCTGCAGGATTCTGCGCTCCTGCCCTGATAAAGCAGCAGGGACCTTATCAAAATCAGAGCCTGATCCGTGTGCCGTTTGAACGTATAATAGTATAATCCCAACCGCACGACTTCCGTAGACGGAGTCATAAGCTGCTATGCTGGGTCTCCTGACCACCCTTTGCACAAAACCCTGTGGCCTCTCCCTGCCAGAGGATCTGAACCTCCATGCTCGGGCATTGCTTTGCATTTAATGTGCTTTGTAGGATTTAGGGGATTGGGATTCAGGGTTGTGTCTTGAAGGGTTGAACAAATCATCAGTTGAGCCCGTGCTGCTTTGGTAGTATAGGCTTTTAGGAGGTACATGGCAGTTGGGCGCTTGCAAGGGCCTAGCATTTGCAAGGATTTTCCAAGGTTTCTGATGACTTCCTCACAGAGGATCGTCAACATTTTATTTGCTAAAATACATTTGATCTTACAGTAATGATGAGAATTCCCAAAGCAAATCTATACTTGTGGAGAACTCTGAATAACATTAGATTTTTGGGGGCAACAGTTTAGCAGCAAGGGTGTCTCGCATTGGGATTGCATAATGAAAGCATTTTCCATTTTCATTGGGGGGCTATAAGCAGGACCGCCACCAACCTGGTTTAGCCCCATATACCTATAGGGGTCAAGGGTATCCCTAATTTGAGAAAAGCCGATTCAGCATGGATGACGGTGGCGGTCATCACACTTCAGCAGACTGTAAGATGCAGGCCTTACTTAGCTTATGGGCAATGAACAACCCCAGACCCAACAAACCTGATCCTTGTCCATTTAGACCATCCAATGAGTTGCTCGCCGCTGGGCACTACAAGGTTTAGCAGCTTAGCATTCGGAATCTGGGCCTTAGATCAGAGCAACTGTTTAAACAGTACTGGCCTCATCCATGAGCTCTGCGTCCATCGACCGCAGACCATGCCTTGCACTCATCAATTGCCCAGTTTAAGGTTTAGGGTCACTGGTTGCATGCAGAACCTGGGACCCAAGGAAGGGGAACTACTGTTGCTACGATCAGCCCTGCGTACTAATGAACCCTGATGCCCAAGGATTTAGGGCACTCCAGGTCTTGCAGTACCTTTCAGTAAGCCTGAGCCTAATAAAATGTTGTAGAGCCTTGGCTTCCAGGCTGGGATTTGATGACGTTCCGCTTTGTTCCTAGTAGCTCTAGTCCAATCCTCCATTCCCTACCAGCCACCCCTAAGACAACAAACCTTAAATAATGTAGTGGCCACTATTTCGTCCTCCATTCCTTCAGTCCCTGCTAAGCAGCAAGTCATGAACTAGGTTGAAGCACCAAAGCTCAATCTCCTGACTCTAACTGGGGGCTTCTCAAAAGTAGGAAGTACATGTTAGGGTCTAATTTTAACCTACAGACTGTCGCCAGCGGTTGTCTTCTTTGCTCTTTCCCCAGGACGAAAGTAGAGGCCTTTCGTTCGAGACGCCCCTCCAACGCAAAGATATTCATTATCTTGAGGAACACTACTGGCACCCTGTGGGTGTAGTTCAACATACTTGCAAAGTTTCCTTGCTGCAAGACTGACACTGCCAACCTTTAGGAGCTGCAGTGGTTTTTCTTCTTTCCAGAGAGCCTCTCATGCCAGCTGAGTACCCGCTAGCCTAGGGCTTGGGCTCAAACCACATGGTATCCTAGCTTGATCTAAGGTATGCTGCCTTATCAGGAGGTAAGTAGGGAGCCCTTGTTTTCAGCCATCCAACAAGCTGAGCACGGAGCAGGAACAGCTCGTAGAAGCCTTTTACACACTCCACCTCGGAGCAGTTTCATCTTGAACAGTATTGATTAAGACCAGGACTTCGGTCTTTTAAAGGGCTTCGCACCTTGATGAACCTCTTGTTGTTACTCTAGCGCAAGGAGTCCGGCTTTGAAGGCAGCACTTCAGTAAAGCGTGCACAGAATGCGGAACACGAACTGGCTTGAGGGCATGCCTGGGAAAATCACCAATCTCGGGTAATTTCGAAAACTTCGCGGACTTCTGTCCTGTGACTTGGTGTGTACCTTTTTGCACCCTAGGTACTCAAAATTCTTGGGACGCGCTAGTTCAAGGGCACTGGGAAGGAAGGAGCTCCTCCATCAACAGCGTGTAGCCCGAGTCGCTGCTTGCTTTGCGTTTTGAAGTTGGGTCTGTGGCCTTGCCTGCCCCGAGGAAGGTCTATGCCCCATTGATCATTCCTAGTTGGAAAATTCCAATACGACAGTTGTAAGGAAGCCGTGAAAGCACCAGCCTAATTATTCAACCGCGAGCGACTTTAAACTTACAGCCTCCATTTGGAACCCTGCCGAAATGCCCTCTGCGGAGACAGACATTCACACGTATTTGCACCTGCCGCTCCTCAAGGCAAGTTCAGATTCATTTATGTTGATTTGAGGGCGTCTGGAGCTAGCTATCAAGACATTCAGCCTGAACATAACTGAGGACTTCCTAACCCATTAGTAAGGCAACTCCAGGATATCTTGAGTAAGCTCTGAATCCTGACTGCTACTACACCCTTCAGTTACAAACCTGTTCAAAGAGGGAACTCCAATGGCACCCCAAAATCTCGCAAACTAAGGAACCCTCAGCCCTAGTCCCTAAACCTGCCTTAACCCTGAACCGCCTGAACCCTACTGCAAATCCCTAGCCCCAACTCAACCTGAAACAAACCTTAACCCAAGTCCTAAATCACAAGTTCGGGGAAGAGTATCCATCCCTGTCCCGGGAAGCCGGACTGAACCTCCGGCCGAACCCAAACACCGAGCACTCCAGTCCTTCAAGCAGCAGGATGTAGAGTTTAAAACCCTGGTGCAAGGGTAGTTGTAGGATCTAGGGGAAGTATTGGAGTTTAAGGGCTAGGGTTTCAGGCTGAGGGTATACCTGTACTTCCAAACGCCTGAAGCTGCGAAACGTATAGGTTCAAGCGGCTTACTCGAGTTACCCAGGTTACTCTAGATAGTATGGAGCATTAGGCCTCTGGGGCCGTGTACATTTTGGGCTTCGTCGTCTGGACTTGCAGAGTGCTTGAAAACGGAGTTTCCCAAAATGACCCCCACAGAGTCCTTAAGAGGCACCCTTTCACATATTCCCCACATAGCGCAAGGATGCCCCGGTCTATAGCAGCTCCTTGAGCATGTTCCGGCAGCCTCCATTCGCCAGAAGAAGATCTCCAGAGCGTAGCCGTAGTCCAGCAGCAAGGACGCAGTGCGTGAAGAGGCTCCTCCGGCTCTTTCCAGCGCACTCGAGATCTGCACATTGCTCTGTGGCGACCCTTCAGCGGGTCTTCGGCGCAGTGGTTCTCGCCCAAGGCGAGCGCCAGCTTCTCCACTCTCTCCGGCCCGGGGTTCTTCACGCCTCTTGCCGGGCACCCCAAGTTCTGACATCCCAATCCCTGAAGGCATTGCCTAAAATCCTGAGCCCCCACACTCTAAACCAAAAGATCAGCTGCTTCTGAATTTTATTTGGGATGCAAGTGCCCAAATTTATACATCGTCCCAGCCGCTGCTTTGTGCTTACTGGCTTGGTGTAATTTCTGGAAAACTGAACGAATGTATCCCTGCCCTATACTACCCTTACCTACAAAGGGGCTGGTAAAAGAGCTGCAACCTCTCACATAGATGACGGGCTTCTTGGGGATCGTTCTTCTTGTTCACATCGTGCTCGTGCTTCCTATGACTAAAAGTATGCTGACTACCCGTCAATTCTAAACCGTTCCGTATTCAGCCCTCAACCTTCAACCATGTAACTTTCGGGCTTCAAGGTACCTAGAACCTCGAGAGGACAGAAGAATGTAGGGTCACCAATTGTCAGAACTTTTTTTTTTTTTTGTGGCGTGTGCACTTGTAGAAGGGGTTTACGCGAAGGCTTTGCGAACTTTTCGACCTTCGAAATTATATAATACGAAATATTGGGAGGTCCTCTGTTGAAGGCTCGACGTGTCCATAAAGCATCATTACCCTCCCAAGCGAATAGCGGTCCCTAGCACTATAGGGTCCCTTGGTTAGTGGGATTATCTATGAAGCGCCTCTACTCTAAGAACGAACGCTCCGTTATACAAAATGGCCGCAACACTTTTGAGTCCTTATGAGGAACACCTGTACAATTGGATCGTGGGGGTTGCTCAATTCGGAGAAGATACTAATCCTCGTCTGTCTGGATACTGCACCTCCAACCACAGCACTCGATGGCCGTCTGCAGCACGCAGGCGCTCAAGGACCTGCATCAGTTATAGGGATTGAAAAAGGACATAGGTCAGGAAAAGCCAGTGTCATTCAAACTAATGAAGGTCAGGGACTACAAGTTTTAACCTAGAACTTGAATGCCTTCTACGCAGGCCAAGAGCTCCAGAAGTGCAATTCCATGGCTTGTGAAGGGATCGCATCTTTGGATCAGGACCTCTTTTCTGTTCTGGGCCAGGGCCCTTAGCAGGAAATCTATATGTGCTGATAAAAAAATCACAACCTGTGGCTTACATTTGGAACCTCTTTCAGGTACCATGCAGGCCACGACTGCAATCTCTGTGTGACCTTGAAAAACTCTTTCCTGCAATCTAACCTTGAAAAGGTCAAATTCAGGATGGCATGTACAGGTCAAACTATATATGAACAGATGCGCGGCAAGCGCTCGATCGCAACACCAGTGTCCAAATACCTTTGGAAATCGCATTCAAGGAGGAGGTTCAGGCGCTGGACGGGTGTTAGGGTAAGCCTTGAACCCCAAACCTGACAGTTCAGGGTCTAGCTTTGGCCTTCAGCTGCGTCTTCGGAAATAGAATTCTAACTCAGCTGTGCTTCTGCTCATGGAGGATACGTGGCACAACCTCTCGGTATGGCCGTACCTGCTGTTTGGAGACTTCAAGCGCGCGAGTGGTCTTACGTTAGAAAGCATTGATCATTGAGTGGCGGCGATACTGGGCTGGAAAGCCTGACCTCGTGAGTGCATGTCAAGTCACTGCCCAGCAGAGATGCCAGGGTTTGGCTCAGGCGCCTTTGTGCGTGCGGGCCCAGTTTATTAAATCAAAGCTTGCGGGGCCTAATTTCTTTCTTTCGAATTTGAGCTACCTTTCTTTATGACTCCGCCCGCCGTCATGGGCCATCTTCAAAAAGTAAACCGTACAGGCTAACCTAGCGAGGTGCCTCGAGAACGTCGGAAAGTCGAACGTACCTGGCTCATATGCATCTGCTTTGCGAAAGACACGAACTTTTACAGCAGACAAACTGAAGGAGGTGCGTCAAGCGCAAACATACGAGCTTTTGTCAGTAACTTTTCTGAAGCGAATTGCAGTCTCTTCGTGCATGAGCGCGGCACCAGCACTCTAAAACCTACCCCGAGTCTGCCGCCATCTTGAAGCCTCACCCTGATATAGGATCTCACAAGATCGGATGCCCTTAAAAACCCTGAAAAGGCCTGTTGAAATACACGCGGAGCGTCAGATGGCTTGGAAACTCATGTTCCGCTTCTGTTTGAGTCTCAACCTGAAGCGTAAGTTTCAGCGGGAGCCAAAGGCAGAAAGAAGGTAGGTGGCAGGTAACAGTCTTCCTTTCAGCATTCTACTCAAGGATGCTGACCCTTATCCCTATGTGCCCAGGCCCTCCTCCCACATTCCGGCATCCTGAGCGCCACGTGCGAAAGTGCTATACATCAAGCCCAGCTTCTTGATCCTGATTAGTATCCTGAAGCCCTCAGATCCTGGATCCTGCTTCCCAAATCCTACATCCTTAGGCCAAACTTTGGAGCTGCCATGCCTCTAGCCCAGTTCAGCTTCAAGCCCTGACCCTGCAAATCCCTAAGCCCTAAATCCCACACATCGGAAAGATGCCAAGCACGAAGGGAGAACTCGGAGGGTTGTGGGGCAAAGACAACGGAGATCGGCGCGTCCTTGGACACTGTTGGGGTCTTGGGTGTAGAGAGATCTAGGCGTCAGGCTTGCAGGTGATCGTAAGACACGAAGAGCTTTACAAAATCATGTTGACAAAGCCTACAGGCTCACAGGTGGTTGGCAGCGAGATGAAAGAGATTTTCTTACTGATGCTTCGCAGGGAATGGGGTTGATACATGGAGGCCACCTGCTTTCTGTGCTAACTGCCAGGAAGCTTTTGCTTTGTGGGATGTGCCGGGAGGGAGGCCTGAGGACCCCATACTCTGGTTGAAGGGTTTCAGGGAATTCAGAAGGCTCTGGGCTTGAGGTTAGGTCACGGTGATTTGGGTTGAAGGGCTTTCGGATTAGACTTGAAAGCACTTTTAACCAGATCCTTGTTGACGCATCCTGCGCAGGCTCAACCCCCGTGAGTCCTCATGTGATACAGTTGCAGTTTCAGGGACTAAGGGCTGCAAGTAGAATGTGAGAAAAAACCATGACTGGCTGTAAGCTATTTGGTGTACTCTTAACCCTACTTACAGCTATCCATAAGCCTGCAAATCCAGCTTCTGCTACTTGTAGCAGCTACTCGATGTGTTCTTCACTGACTAGAGGAACAAGCTCATTCTCTGGCTGAACACTTTGGGCCCAGGCCCCTCCTTCCAGGACGCCATCTAAGCTCAGCCGTGCGAGCGAGGATCTGAGCATGCTGCTTTCTGGAAGTTGCACATGGCATTCTTCATGTTACGGGTGCCCTTTCCGTGGAGTTGCACAATGGCTCCACTGACTAGTTTGGGGCTTAGCGAATTCCAGAATGAGACATATTGTCACAGAAAGGGATGAGTGTGGACCCTTTGCAAAACTGTTGAGAAAGTCGCAGGTTCAGTTGCCACAGTTGCGCTGGTCAGGGACCCACCCTTCCTGACATCAGAGTTTAGCTTTAGCAATTCAATTCAGGAGTTGCGGGGGCTAGGCAACTCGTGGCAGCCCAACGAGATTATATAAACAATGGAAGCTTCTCAACTGCAAGTATGTCACAGAACCAACCCCACAGCGATCGCAATCAACGCATTGAGTGCCAACGCATCTGGGAAGGAATATGTATGCGTAGCCCTATGACAACTGCAACAAGTCAATTAGAAGAGGCTTCACAAACCCCTGCTTGGATGACGGCAGCAATCATATGAGCCATAATCTGAGCTCCTAGTATCACTCTTAGTAACCCATATAATAGTCCGTTATAATCCCCCATGTAACCCACCCTTACAAGGAGTTTAGACTACATAGTGACTATCATATCCTTATGTACGTTTAGATATTCTAACTTAAGCTCCCCTCAAATTGCATTCAAAATATACGCGCTGACGAAAATCTCTAAGGAACCCTTTATACGTTCATCAAAAGCAAAACCCTACTTCATATGACATTCGGAGAACAGAAATCCTCCTGAGACCCAGGGCGTCTTCTCCAAAGTCTCCTTGCGCCAGGACGTGACCTGTGGCAAAGGATCCTACGCAGCTTCTGAAGTATTGCGGCTACTTACTGTTCTGGCCAAACATCCCCAACATTCCGGTCCTAGATTCCTTGTACAAGTATGGTGCAAGTAGTATAGGGTATCTTGATTAAACCTGAAAATGCGATTGTTGCTTATTTTGCACACTGCATGTGCTACACATCCATAAACATCTCAAAAGCCTGATTTTTCAAACGCTAATGCTAAGCGCTTGCTCTCCGAGGCGTGAATTATTTGGGTTTCACCAAGAGGGCGACAGTAGTACTGATGAACTGTTGTGAGTGCAATGGGGTTGAAAGTGACCCAGTCTGCGCCTAATCCTACCAACGCAAAGACTAAAACTCGAACCCGAAACCATATTGAAACCTACCCCCGGAACGCTGAACCCTGAATACATACAGCTCCAAACTCGAATCCCCTGACGAACGTTTCGCAACAAACTCTGCTGGCTAAACCCTGCACTTTTGTTATGCCTAAAATCATGCTTCATTGCAACCTTGCCTGAACCCTAAACCATAAAACCCTTTACAAACTCTACGCTCTAAATATCCTACATCACCATAATTACCTGTGAAGCTTCTCAAGGAGACCACACCTTCGCTAGAAGCTGTTTGGCATGCTCATCCTCGGTGAAATGTCGTCGGACCTGAGGCCCGGGCATGGTTTGGGCTTTAGGACTTCCAGGGTTGTGGTTCTAGGACGTGGGGTTTTAGGTGCAAGGTTTGAGGTTCAAGATGTAAGCTTTAGAGGTTCAGGTTTTTAAGATTTAGAGTGTAGGGGTTCAGGGTTTTTAGGTTTAGGGCTTGAGGTTTCAGGGTTAGGCTAAACCTCCGCCACCCAATTCTGAGCATGCAACATGCATGCAAGCTTGATACTCCAATTTTGACGAGACAGGCCTTGAGGTTTACAATGTAGGGGATCTTGAAACTCAAAGGTCTGAAGTTTCCAGCTTTGGGAATCGCGGGTCATGACACAGCCACCTTTTTGTATGAGGGGCATTCCCCCGAGGGTCCGCAATCTGCTTGTGTTACAAACAGAAGCGGGATACATTGTGAGAAAGAGGGGTCTACGGAATGTGCGCGGTTTAAGGGAGCTTGACGGAGTTGACTTGAGTACCACAGTTAACCCCCGCAGGATTGCGCTAGGCTGCCAATGATATGCATGGGACTATGGCAACGAGAATGTTGATGCTGCAACTCATCCAACTATTTGGCAATGTTAAGGGGTGGTGTATGTTTGGGTGTTGAAGCCCAAATCTCAGAATTCATTGCTTGCAATAGATGAGGCAACCCGATCGGCCAATGCTAGAGCAAGAAAACATGAGGCATGTTTCGCAGCGCTTAAACTTGGCACGGTTCACGGTCGTTGGGGTCATGACAATGCGTGAGAGTTTTTCTAATGTTGTCATTGAAATTCACGCGAATTTACAAGTTTTGTTTTTATGGTTGGGCAGTGGGCAGATTTTGCTTGGCCATGCACGGCTTCCCTTGTGCGACATGGAAATATCATGCGCGGCTCCGTTTTGAAGTTGCGTTGGCGGTTGACAAAAGCTTCAGCAACATTATATAATCATTTGCGGTTTTTGTTGGCTGGCATACAGCTTTCTGCTGGCTCGTCTTGACTATTTCAAGTTGACGTACCATTCTTTGCAATGAAAAACTGGGGTCAAGCCTCCTCGCAGCCGTACTTGCAGTAAGTAGAGTATCATGTAGGGACCTGCCTGCATCCCAGCGTACATTTTGACGGACTTGTGCTGCAAAAATTGATATGTCCAGAGCAGCGCTGTGCTTGGAGGAAGAAGCGGGACAGGCGCGTCCACAGCGCTGGAGTTTCCCAAAGGCCTCGGCCTGAGGGAGCAGCTGGATCAAGTGACCCAGCCGGTGTTCGTCAACCCTCTCTGCTGGAATGCAGTGGCTGCCAACATGCACTAGTGCTTCAGCGCTGAAGTTGTTCAAGGCCACCGGGAGTCACAGCGCTTGCCGTTTACTTCAAGAAGCCCTGCCAAAAGCGCTTGGTCTTGGTAACAGAACTCAGCGGCGTTGGTCCAAGAAGCGGGGCCCATCTCCGGCTTACCCAGTGATTCATTTTGCGAAGGGCACGCCGGCAGATCGCCGGTCAAAAAGCTGTGGTAGCAGACCCGCTCGCCCAAATGTCTCCAGCCATGGTCGGCTGTACGCCATACAGGCAGACTTCAGGCGGGGCAAACCCGCAATCGCCACCAACGCGCTGCATGCGATCTTCTACTTGACAGCTGCCGAGATCAGCGATCTTCAGTCTGCAATCACGGGTACAGAGAAAATCGTCGGGCTTGATGTCTCCATGGATGACGCGAAACGCATGGATCGGGTGCACCCCCTGCATCAGTTGCAGTCCCGATCGGTGCTGTAGCGTTCCTTTTTTTTTGAAGTCTCCTCCCGCAGAACTCAAAGGGAACGAGGTATCTGCCCGCTCCAGTGCTCCGAACAAGGAAATATTCGCCGGGTTGCCGTGCAGCTGCTCCTGACCCGTGCCTTTGGACTCTCAAGCTGCGGCGGGTTCTGCTTCCGTATGCGCTTGAGTGCAAAAAGCGGTGAGTCCTCCAGCTGCACCCGAAAGATATCGCCGAATTTCCCGGCTCCGATGACCTTGCACGACGACGCTGGGTTGGCAACCTGAATGGCGTCCTCCTCTACAGGCTCCGCACGTGGGGGTAGGGCACTGTGCTCCTTCTGGTAGGCTGCATGCTGCAAGGACAGCGTGGGTCGCACAACAAGCCACGTGCCTACTGAAGGCAAATGCGTCACCTTCACGACGACGGATGCAGCTCTCCTTCTCGTGAAGTTTGTTTTCGGCATCAGACTGGCAGCTGGCCACACCAGGTACGCAGCAGTGCTTGCTACCCCAGCCACTCCAACCACCCCAAGGGCGACAGGCAATGTCACAACCAAAGAGAATGCCGCGCCGACAGTGGCGATGATGCCCCCCGCCGCAGCGCCGCTCGTTGCGGCTGTCGTCGTGAAAGCGCTGCCGGCCATGGCAACACCAGTCACCGCAGCCACACCGCTTGCAGCAGCACTGCTGCTGACGGCAGAACCACCAAGTCCTGCGATTGCATGGCTGATGCCCGCAGCAGACCTGTGCTGCTAATTCATGATCCAATCGCTGCTCGCTTCCAATGAATTCCCGCTTCCCGGAATTGAAAACTGCCCGGAGTACTTAGTACAACCGCGAGTTTTTTGGTAAAGGCGAGCTAGGGCCCTCTTTAACCTACCCAAATCTCGTGTGACGTGGAGAATGCCTATGAAATAAAGGAAACCCGTAATGTAATTTTGATATCCTCTGTGCGAGTTTATACAATTTCTTCCTAAGGACCCTATACAAAATCAAAGAAATCTAGGACGCACAGCAAATCTCAAATATGCACTACATGTTTCAAACTCGCTATATGCATTCATTTCAAGAAACTTGTGTTCAAGCATCATAACCTATGAAATACAGAAAATCCGGAATTACATGCTTTTGCAGAAATAGATATCCATTCTTCTTTTTCGTATGAGGCCCTATGAAACCAATAAACAAAGAACAGCTACGAGAGATCCCGAATTCCTTGTGATTTCTTCTGACGACACTCGTATTGCCTGAACCCCGACGTCTCTTCATGAGCCTCCGATTCACCACCCCTTTCAAAATTCATTTCTCTTTTCAGAAGTAGTCTTCCAAGATTTTCGGCCTGTGCTCGGAGTGTTTTTCATTTATAAGCGCGGGCCTACTACTGTCAGGGGGAAGAGACTACACCGCTTGTGGTATCAAACTTGTTCCCAAATTCTTCTTGTGAATTAGCCAGCGCTTCTAAGTTTACACACCGAAAAGCTTGGCAACTGCCGCTGTGGAATGAATTCCGGCTACTTGGACCTTTGCTTGCCAAACAAGGTCGAAAACCCTGAGGGGTTACTGCGCGATTACCCCACGCCTCTCCCTATAAACTCCTCACTTTAAAGGCGCGAGAGACCCCCCGCAGAACTAAAAGGAGTGCTTAGTAAGTTTCAAAGCGGTGACGCAGCAATAACGAATTCCGCTTGCGCAAGAACCATGTGAGTGTCTGTACTAGCCAAGAGGATTGGCAGCTCAGTTCGAAAGGTCAATGCAAAGAGCTGGACAGTTTCAAAACATGGGAGGTTTGTATTACTTCTTGCTATACTCAGGACAACGGTCAAACAGAACAAGGTCATCAAGGTAGTTCTGCAAGCGGTAGTGTTTCTGTAGCAAAATTTGACAATTCAGCGTGACAATGTTAGGGCGAACTATAACAAAAGAATCGCTTAACATCCTAAGCCTACAGCCTATAACACCTCTTGAGGAATTCCTACAAACCTAAACCTTGTGTGCCTACAAGGCACAGGTTCAAGCAGTGCATTGACCTGCTCAAGGAGGGAGCCAGCGAACTGTGATGTGACTTGGGAGTTTCTCAAACTTGAGGAGACCTCGGAGACGAAGACTTTCAAACGTTTCGTTTCAGATGCTACCTGGGAATTTCATAGTGACCAAGTTGACAAACTCCTATGGAGGGTGCGGCTGATGAATCTAAGGTTTAGAGCTGCGAAGTTAAGATCTCAGGCTTAGGAGCCAGGAACTAGGGTTCACGGTGTTAGGCGGCTAGTTTGCGATACGTAGCCTACGATGTTGGTTTAACATTTGGTCCTGGGAGATGAAACTGTATGGGAGTTCTCAAGATGTGCGGTTTCCACTTGTTTACAAGGGTCTCGTTTTTGCACCCATCAATACAAGGCCGTGATTTGAAAAAATCGCCCATGTAGAGGCCCTTGCCTGCATGGTTGATATGCATTTGGCCGTTCATGCGCTGTGAACGTAACCTTGCTTCAGATCTTTACTGCTCATAAGATGGGCCCGGAAGTGCCTCGCAAACTACTCGGCTTGTTGACTAGGAAACCAAACGCTGCAATCCCCGCAATCTGAAGACATGTCACACATGCACTCCTATATAGTCAAATGTACAAGCCCTAACAATCACCATTACAACCCTTGTATAACTACAATATAGTTTGCCTCACCATCTATTCAAATTGAACATTGAGCAGGCCCCTACACTAGGGTCAACTTGCTGGCCCTTAAATTCTAATCTGAGAAGTGCCAGTCAATAACGATTGGATGAAGCCAGACGGAGACATTAAACATTGCGATTGAGTTCAGGGTAAAAGGAACACATCAGGGCTCATCAGGGCTTGTTGACGTCTTACTTCTGTCTTCAGTCTACCCAAAGTTAATTGCCACCCGGCTCTATCACAAACCTGCAACAAACCCAAAGCGCTCCGATCAACAGCTCGATACTCTCGACCTGATGCTTTCGACACTCTGAACCTCTGAAGCGCGGACCTTATACCCAAACCCTAGTAGTACAGTAGTACTTTTCTCGTCATATGAGGAACTACGGTCTATACTCCTTGTATGGGGCCTGCACCTATAATTTTGGTAAGTGGCCAACTGTTTTCCGTGTTTTGGCCTGAATTCCTTCGTTTTGGTGAGTGGCCTACTGGCCTACTGTTTTCCAACTCCAAATGCCGCATGCAGATCCTCTGTTTTTGCCAATATACCCCTCGCATCGTGTTGCCAACGTACAACACATTCACGGCTTAGGGGTCGGCATGTTCTGATCTTTGATTTGTAGCTTCGTTTTACTAAGTCCTTAAAAGACCCAAACCGTAAGCTACAAATCCGAAGCCCGAAAAGCAAAGAATCTAACATCCTGAGCTAGGCCTCATCAGTCAAACTTTCCTTCAGGACGCTCTCTGGAATGTGGCCGTCCATGAAATCAGTCTTCAACTCCTCCGGTCTACTCGTACATCAGGTTTTTGCTCAGGAGCTTTGGAAACACACTGCAACCTTAAACTCCAAAAGCTCAGCGAGCTAAAGCAAACAATGTTTTTGCTTGTATCACCTTCTCCAAGCTGCAAGGTCCAGTTGAGGGTTCAGGCTGAACTGTAGGGTTTAACGAAAGTCATGCTGTGTGATGCGGTCCCATCCATCACACGAGGTTGAATTCCGGGCTCCACGCTAAAGTGTTGGGAGGGAAACGCACGAGGATTCAGTAAGTGTATGTGCGCAGGGCTTAGGGCCATCTCTACGGTGGCACCGTGGAGCTTATGGTCCACGACATTGCCAGCTGCATGCAGATAGACCTGCACTCTGTGAAAAAAACGTGTTCCGGGCAGCCTGTACACAAGCACTGGGTTGAAGCACTGGGTCGGGGCTGTGATTCGAGGAATGCTGCGACCCCCAATCCTGGCATGCGAAGCATCCCCCTAGTTTTGGCAACAGCTTAGCTTCAGTCTTGAACCTGGAAATGCTTCTCGAAGCAAAGCTTTCAACACACAAGTCCAAGCCTAACCCTCCACATACATCAGTAAGGGCTGCGGGCTGTTCAATATGATTAAGGAGGAGGAGATGATGCTTGCTGGCTTCGCAGGAAATCCTCAAAGGTGTTGTAGGTCTTGTCGCTGCCCGCCAACTTGAACACGTAACCCTCTTGAGAGAAGAGAGTGTACCTCTTCAGCTATGCAGGTTGAGCACAGGCAAATTCTTGGCAGAGGAGGTGTGACTCTGAATGCTACTTCAAAAGACAGCCAGGCCTTAGTATACTAGAAGATCATAACTCCCAAGCGTCAGGTGATGTCAGGTGCTTGGGGCCACGCAAGATGTTCAGTATCGGCCGAATTATGTTGGGGAGGCACTATTCTGATCTTCATTTCCTAGCAAAGCGGGAATTGACGCTTTACATTCAGGATTTGGAGGTGATTGAGCGCCTGGTCTTGTCAACCTGCACGCAACGTCTCTCAATTTGTTTGGCGTTCTTCAACGCGCAGGCAGGAAAGCAAGCAAAGCCGCTCAAGGGTGTAGTAAACTACAGATGAAGCCGTCACATTGAACACTTTGGATGCCCTGATCATGTTCCAGGGAACTCCCAGAATGCAGTGTGCAGAACTCACTCCAAAACTTGGAGGATTTTGGGCCTACGTGCCGCCTTGCTTGTCACATGTACGTATATATATACACACACACTTATATATGTGCAAATAAGTATATGTATAGATCTACACACTAAATGGGCGAGACATTGAAATGGATTTTGAGAGAAATGTCTGCTTCATTTCAGAATGTCAAGGGCTCTCTTGTGGCTTCTTCTCTTTCGGGAACCTACAGCAGATGGTCCTTGAAGAGAACTGGAAAAGGAACGCTCTCTCCAAGATGCACGACAGCTACAACCCAAGCCGTTTGCCTTAATGATATACAGGACCTAGGAAAGCAGCAGCCGCTCTAGCAGTAGTAAGGCTTGGCAAAGGTATCTATAACTATATGTCATTATAGCACTGGCGGAAACAATGATCCTATTGGAGCCTTCTTCGGAGTTTTGACTTATTGCATGGCTTGTATCCAAAACCGGAACTCTTAACCCCTTTGGCATCTGGCCGAATGTAGTCCAGGCAGGGATTCTTCAGGTCGTCCTGCGAAAGCAGTGCAGTTGTTGGAGTTTTGGAGTTTTGGGACAGGGGCTTAAAGGATTCTGAGTCTGGTTTGTCCAACAATGAACTTGGCGGTTGGACGACCAGAATAATGAGCTTTGGAGACGGTGGTTTGGCATACAGTCATGAGGACATCAAGACATGACCTTCATCATTGCATCCACATTGATGAAATGCATGTAGCTTCCTATGTGACAAGTCGGCATGCCCTGGCAATCTCTCTCGTCCAGGCGTGTATGTTAAAAACAGGGCCTGGAGAACCGCCTGCTGAGCTTTTTGTTAGTGGAGGCTGCGTAGTGCACTTTCCAAAATTGGGCCTGCGGATGGTTGCGGAATTCTGCCGGTTCGTGGGGCTCTCAATATTGCGGGTCTGTTTTGGGCTGGTTGTACCTACTGTTGATGGAGGAAATCTTGCACCACCTTAAGTCCCTGAAGTCCTAGGACTTACAGTAGCGTAGGGCCCCTAGGTGGTGCCAGATTTCATCCATCAACAGTATGACCGCTTAAAACACCTTACCTGGATCTGGAGCAAATCCAAATGAGATGCGTCCTCCACCAGCGACATACCCTCTTGTGCCTTCATTCCTGACCTGGGTCGAGGGTCTGCGGCTCATGCTAACCTTTCTGTTTCAGGGTTTGGTTCCAGGTGAGGATCTACCCGCAGGACTCGGGTCTAGGATTTAGGCCTGTCAGATCATGCTGTGCGCACGGTCCCTATCTCTACAAGTTGCAGAGGTCAAGTCTCGGGTTTGTACATTAGGATTTAGGGCTCAGGCCCTTATGATTAGGCAGTAGGGTTTCAGGTTTAGACTGTCGTGCTTGACAGCCGGCCCAAAACCTGTTGGATTCTCACCGTCTCAGACTGGGCTTGCTCTAGGAGGTTCGCAAATCAGGATCCACTGGGTACGCCTAAAATCCAAGCCCCGGGCCCCATTTTCTGACAACGAGCCGTCAAACGCGGTGAAGGAATCTATCTGGAGGAAGCCGGAGGTCTTTGCTCTCATGCCAAAATACATGCTCTGCCCTGAAAATTGAACCTCAGGGTTGAAAGATTAGGGTTCAGGCTGAGCCTGAACTCAACATTTCCTACCCATCACTTCTTCACCCTACGGCTCACACTCAACACTGGTATGTTTGGATCTTTTGGGAACACATCCCGAGGTTGTCAAGGATCTGGGTTTGCAAGCTCTATCTCAGGGACCCGGAAAACGGATGCATGCAGGGAACCACCCGCTTCGTAGACTGGGATACTGAGTCGGAAACGCCTCGGCAACCTCTGGAGCAGCCGGGCCTCAGAGCTTCCGGTTCAGGGTTCAGTCTCAAGAAACAATATGGGCTTCATCTTTGGCAAAGAAATGATGGCACAACAACGGACCTTCTAAGGGTGCCTGCATACTTCAGCCTTGATGTACAACTATGCGACCTGGTAACTTGCCAACCTCAGACCACATCATGACCTGATGTTCCGAGAAAGGTGCCCGTGCGCGAAAGCAAACTGGTAGATGTAAGCCACTAGCTTGGCGCTTCGGTGCTTACGAGGTGTGTTAAATGATAACTAAGTGTACAAAGACCACGACACATCGAAAGTAATTGAGCTGCAATGGCTGACTCTGAGGTACTCTGACCCTTCTTGACCGAATCGGTTGAAAGGGGTTTTGAATTGGAGAAAAGCAACAAGCACGGCGCAGGAAAATGCTTTGGGGCCTGAAGTTGAGGCTTCGGGCTTCTTGTTTTGGGCTTTTAAGTTCAGTCTTCAGGATCGAGGCGGGGCTGTCATTAGCTGTGAGTATCTTACCGATAATGTCTTTGTTCTTGGTTCTAGAATGACATAATGTGTCATGAGTAATGATACTTCTGTGGCTCTGCTTTGCACCCAAAGGTGCCTTCCCTGCACAGATTGAAAAGCCGCAGACGACAACAAACATTGTTTGTTCCTTGTTCGCAGGAGAGGAACAAAAGGCTCTTCGGGGCTATGATAGAAAAGCCGAGGAAGATGAAGGTTACGTAGGGATCGGTTTCTTCATTCCTTACCAGCAAAGGCAACATGATGGTTCAGAAATCAGACATGTATTGGCTTTAACAGGGGATCTGGCAAAATCCAAGCTGTTCATCCAAGCTGTTAAGTAACTGATCGTACACAGCACTCTTTTCTGGCATTGGACCAGGAATCCATACGGCAACCACGTAAGCAAGAAAAACCGTAAATGCCATAAAGCCCGCTCTGAAACTTTGCTATTCCACAGTGCGGCATTCATGATCTATGAATCTATGATTACGTCGAATGGCCTTGCGAGCCTGCAAACTCTGCTCCCACCTCGTCATGCTTTAATTCCACCCTACTCATTTCCAGCTCCTCTGAATACAACCGAAATGACTCTCAGCGTGGGGAGGAGCCACAAGCAATGTTTAGACAAGGAAGATGCAGTTACGCATGACCATATATCTTGGGGTTCGCAAGATGGAAGGGCTCTGTTTGGGGCTCCCTGCAATCAGATTATGTTCCTGCACAGTGTTTAAGCTCTGAGGTAGTGTCTACGTCTCAATCCTTCAACCCTAAACCCTAAATAGTAGTTTCCATTTTCTTTTCCATTATCCCAATAATGTCCCTATAAAACCCTAGAATACCTTGCAACCCGAGGTACAGTAAGCACCGCCGATTTTCCGCACAACGTCCTGTCTGAGAAAATGCTCTGCCACACAAGACCGAGTGCCTAATCTTGTTGATAGGGGAGATCCGGCACCAGCCTAAGTCCCTCGTGCCCTGAAACATTCCTCCATGAACAGCAGGTTCTGCCAGGAGCAGGGTTATGACGGTTGAGTTCATACTCTTTGTCATTGTTCGAGGGTAGCGAAACTGTATACGCTGCCCAAGAATTTTTGGTGCTGAAGCTAAGCTGTCCTCAAATTTCTGAAGTTTTGATCTCTGCCTGGGAGCAGAATCTCCCTGTGGGTTGGGTGAATTCTAAGCTCCACATCATCTTTGGGAAAGGGGCTCGGTTATGTTTTACTGCTTCGGGCTGGGAAACATGTGTTTTCTTGATTTGCGCGCACGTGACGTCCTCTGCGGCATCCTCCATGAAGATGGCGCTGTCTGGGTCGGACTTCGACATCTTTGCCTGGCCCTTCTTCAGACCTTGTCAAGGGCTTTTGGGATGCGGGTTGCGACAACGGGCTCCACTGAAACCAGGGTCTCCCTAAATACGCGCTGAAAGCAGAAAATCCGATTACTTACAAGTAACCTGCAAACATGCCATATGTTGGGAGCAACCTACACTGAATTTGGGACTCATGCGAATGGCAACTCCTTCGGCATCTGGAATCCTGAAACAACGTAGAACATGAAGCAGGGTGCTTGCTCAAGGGTGGTCAGGCATATGTTGGAGTCAGCCCGAACCCTAAATCTGAGATTGTTTAAACTCCTGCAACCTTCCAGGCAATTCCCGAACCTCCAACTCCCAAACACCCCGCTCTCAAGAGTTTGAAGCCCCTTATGGAGGTTCATGGGCAAGTTTGAATGTGCTTATAATTTATAACTAGCAGGACATCAAGCCCCACTCGTGGCAACTCAATCCCGAACCCTAAGCCTGCTCTCACCTTGTAAGCCTTCTTAAGATTCAAATCACACAGGGACCTTTAGGTACCCCATCCTATGCGAGGCCCTGGCCGTAAAGCATGTGATGCGAAAGAATGACCGGCTTCAGCTTCCTACCTGGATGCTCGTAGGGGGCTTTTCCAAAAAGTATGAGCATTTACATAGAAGCCCAGCAGAACAGAACAAAGCGACCACATGCCCCATGGTTGTTTTTCATGCGGAGATCCCCACATCTACATTCCCCAGGCCAGGGCTGAGAAAAAACATGCAACCTCATGTGATGTTGTGGAGTGCCCGTTGTCTACATGGACCCTCAGATTGTGCGTCTAGGGTTCCAGGCATGAGGATTGGGAGTTATGAGTTCTGCGTTTATGCCTATTTCTTGTGGGTGTATGGTTCAGGGTAGAGTGTGCGGGCGTGTAGGCTCGTGATTGTTGGCCGTGCTGCTTTTTGGCTTCAAGCGGGCAGGCTTTGATCTTAGCCTGCGGTGTGCACTTAAAAAGCATGGGCGATGCGACGAAAGGATCTACAACAGCCAGCAATGAGCCTGCACGGGATTTCTACACAATGATGGCTGCAAACAGTGATGTGCTCTCTATGTGTGAGGCTCTGATTTTTGATAAATCGCGGCGTGGGGTTGGGCTTAGCTGAGCAGGCAGTCTGCAAACGGAGGCCCTGACGACTATCGGATGTAAGAGTCATGGGGTGTTCTGTTGTTCGATGCAAAGTGAGACACAAGCCTAAAGCCGGCGACACATTCTGAGACATAGGTGCCCGAATGATGCTTTAGGCTAGGAATGAAAATTCTGTGACAGCCCTTCTACGGCGCCTAACTTGTCGCACGAACATCCCATTGGCAGCTCACATGGCTATACCTCAAAGGTAGCCTGCTGTATCGCACCAAAGTAATCCAAGGGTTGCTGTTTGCGTGAAGGACCAGTTAGGCAGACCCGTGATTGCGAAACACCTGCCAGACTCTGGAAAACCCACTGCAACCCAAAGTGTTGTCTCTCAACTATAATGGCAAAGCCTGGTCTCAGGCATTCACATTCCAACACCGCTTCAATACTGCCTGAAGGGGATAACAACTGCTATCGTTGAATGATTGCTGCTTGGTCATCTCCGCCCAGCCTGCTGCATCGCAGTAATCCCTGGCCAGCATGTTCACCTGCAACACGGTTTGGCAAGAGCTGAGTTGGGCTTCGCTGTCTCGTCAAAGTGCTGCTTGTGCCAAAGGTGAGATATCCTTCGACATCGGATTCAAGCCCTAAATTCTGCACCCTGCCAGCACACTAGGTCTAACTAAATACGAAACAACCTACAACCTGCAAAAAAGCTCCAGGCCCTTGTCCGGAACAGCATGCACTCGAGCAAACTGGAAGCGACGATTAGAGTGTAAGAAACTTGTTCAACAAGAATTGCTAGCTCAAGCAGACAGATGTTCACAAGGAAGCCAAGCTTTGATTGTTGATGGCACCTCCTGTGTCAATACTTCGTCTTCAGTGGTCTGATGGCTAAACGACGTAAGCAGTTCACGATGAGTCTTGGGAGTGTCTTGAGTGGCGGATCCTTCTTCCAGGGGTCGCTAGCTTCAGGCTGTTTTGGCTAATCGTGAGCTTCAAAGCCATGTACGCAGGATGCATGATTTGAGACGTGACGACTTTCCACAAATCTTGATCCTTGTCATGCGAGCACCGAGAAGCGACCACAAAAAATTCAAAACCCCAATCCCAAAATCCGATATAACCCCACAGCATCCTTGAAAGGGAACCCGTATGTTATTCTTTAAGTGTTGCTACATATGACACCTAAGGAAGGGACGTTCATAATCTCCAGGTCCCACGTTATCCATGGTGTCCCTAGGGACGCCCCCTTTTGAGATTGCACCTTGCGCTGATCAACACCCAGCTGGCAGATGTCCGCCTTTTGCAAGCTTTTTCTCGGGAGCCGAGTCTGTAGGGCTTTCGCGTCTAGGGCTTAGGGTGTAGGGT